CTTAAAGGAATCTATAAGGGCTCCTTTAAAGGGATCTATAAGGGATCCTTTAAAGGGATCACTATAGGGTTTAGGGATCTAAGGACTCATTTTTTAAGGCTTTTGGGCAATTTTGATCCCCAGAACCCAACGAAACTGACCCGAAGACTCCCAGGATCTTAGTAGGGAACGGGGGGACTGGATCCGTATGATTGCCTCTGAAGGCACCTTTTAGTAGTCCCTGTGCGTTTTTTTTTTAAAGGGCCTTTTTGAGTCCCTGTACGGTTTAGGGTTTAGGGCTTAAAACCCATGCCCCCCATTCCCTACTAAAAGCCGGGGCGAAGACTCCCCCATGTCTTCGTTTTGGGAGCATTGCTTCTGTTGATGATATAAATCCTGCATTACCTTAAGGAACCTAAACTATGGGAATTATGGCATATTCCGTATTATGGGTAAGGCAGGCTTTATATCATCAACCGTTACACTACCACAGAGACTGCTTCGTTCTGTGGCAATTGCTTGACGGATGTCCCCTTCTCACGTTGGACTGCACTCTTCCATCGTTTGAGCACTAAGTACAGTGTTCGGAGCTTGACATTTCTTTCATGCTACCTCCAGGGACCACGAACCCTAAACACTGTAATAAAAGTGCGTCAACAGTTAGCATAGGAGTGGGGCCCATTCTAGTCTAGTTATAAGGAACCCCCAAAAAATCCTAAACCCGACTAGGCCCTAAACCTGGCATGAGCTGGTCTGAAAGCCCTGGGCTCCAAACGCCAAGCCGAACGACACAAATGTTCTTCCTAACCCTGGGGCTCCAAATAGCCCAAAGTAGGTTCTATTTACAGACTTTTGACCCCAAAGTAGGTACTACTTGTATACTTGGAGCCCTAGAAGAAGAAGGGGGGAGGTTACCTTGAGTACGTTAATAATTCGAATCGGGCTGGGGCCCATTAGACTATACTTATAACAAGAAGCCCCCAATATATTATTGGTAGTTGTTTAGGCCCCTACATTACCACTAGCCCGAAACATCTGGACCTTCATATGGTTACTCTACATGAGATCTTCGCTCGTCCATTTCAACCTCCCGAATTTCGTTTGCATCATTCCTCGCACAAAAAGAATCGAGAAGAGTCGCTGGTCTTCGTCGGAGTCGCTGCGGACGAGTCCCAGGTAGCGGTATTCGCATTGACAGTCCCGCCTACATGATTGGAGGGCATCCTAGCTGCTGAATTCCCCAACAAAAAAGCTTACTTTGTGACCATCGCAGGGTTTTTGCTACTTAGGCTTGGGAATCCAAGACGTGATACGTCTAGTCTGGAACATGGGTACGGACGCCTCAATGCAATAAGTACGAGGCCTTGTGTATTGCATGACAGAATACTCCCTGAAACCCGTGCTTCTTACACAACATACCTCATTGATGTGGCCCTCTATTCGCTGCTGCAAGATGGCTATGCAAGGATTGGGCTCTGGCGATGCCACACCCAGCATGCTTGGCCATCTACTGGATAAAGGACTCAGAGACTCCAATATCCCTTAATTAAGGAATATACCTTAAATTATAGTAGGATCCCTAATATGATTTGAGGAATATTCCTTAATTAATGGATATTGGAGTCTCTGCGGAAAGAGGGTACGACGCCAACACAAGTAGAACGCCACAGAATCCCATCGTGCGCAGAGCGGAGAGTCGCCCTTGCTTGGAGGAGCAGAGGACTTAGTAAGTAGGGTTATAAGTAAGGTAACAAGAGTTATATCTACTTATAACCTTAATTAAGGTACTTATAACCCTACTTACTAAGTTCCATGACCCTCTAAGTAGTACCCTAAACCCTATAGATCCCGTTAAGGAACCCTGCGAAACCCGTAAAGGAACCCTACTTGCTAAACATGATCCTCCACGTATCCACGGAGCCCTTTACAAGACCCAAACTTCGAAACTTGCCGGGGCAAGAGCTTTCAGCTCAGTTTTTGGGGGGGGGTTAGGTTGGATACTGCCCCCATACAAGAACAGTCTATAATAGGGCCGCTAGTAAGGGCCGTATATATCCATAATATTACGAACGTGGATATTGCTCAACTGTTACTGAGTCGGTGCGGTATCCAAGGTTTAGGGTTTACGGCTTGGGGTTCAGGGCTTTAGCTTCAGGGCAGAATGAAGGACGAATGCAAAATGATCCAAATTCGAGGTCTAACCTGTACCTGGCACTAAACTCCGAAATCATGGTTTAGGGTTTAGGGTTATGTACGGGTTTAGCGTTTAAGGTTTCGCCCAAAAAATGCACCCCCTAAAGCCCCTTGGATGCAAAAGCTTAAACCTATCTGTCTATCTAGCTAGCCACCTGACCACCTCCCTATCTACCTATTCACCTACCCATCTATCTATCGTTGACGTCTGTAACTTTTGGCCTAACTACCTGAGTCTATCTGGTCAGCCTTTCTGTCGACTTTCCTTCCTACCCACCAACTCTAAGCTGTCTAATCTTTCTACCTACATATAAAGATACGCATAAAAAATGTAGGTAGATACACGTTCATATAAGCACACCTCTACGTATGACAGCAACCGGGACACAATACCTACACATACACATGTACTCACAATCATGCGTATGTATGTATGTATGTATGTTTACATATGTGTCTGCGTCTGCGTCGGTGTAGGTGTATATGTATATGTATGCACGTATGTGATGTCTGCATGTATCCCTATGTGTACAGGTATATATATATATATGTGCAATTAGCTATGCAAACTGAGGCCCAAAAAACCCTCACACTCCAAAACGAGCGGCTTTTCGTAGGTCACCTTTTCGTGGGCTCGGCTGAAGTAACCTTTGGTGTCCAAGCCTTAGGTCGGTGTTAGGGGAGTTGTGGTACACCTACTTGTCGGGTGGCATGGGGAACTAAAGGTTAAGCTTTTTGGGTTTTTATAGGGATTATATCGGGACTATACTACCCAAAAAAGGTTAAAGGTTACCTACTCTACTGCTAGGGTTTTAGGGGAGTTGTTGTACAGATTTGTTTTAGGATAGGGCTCCTGCCCTTAACCTTAAACCCTAAACTGTGTCACTCTAGGGCTATCTTTTTAAAGTAGGGTTCACGACATCGCTCATAAAGTTTTGTTTCTTCGGTGTCATAGAATGTGTCGGGAGTTTGTCATAGGTTTCGGGATGCTTGTTCAATTGAGGGATTACCGGGTGACACTAATTTCGCATTGGGGCCTCCTAAGGCTTCAGAAGGCTGTCGCAAGCAAAATGGATGCCAAAGAGGTTCATAGGGCATATATATATATATATATATATATATATATAGGGCTTTCCTATTCAGTCCCGTTGATAGGAGGGCCGGGTCTAGGGCCAAGTGGCGTGTTGTTGAAGGTTAGCACGTGCTGGTGTTCCCAAAGCGAACTGTTGGGACCGACGTCAAATAGATACAGATTTTGCTACCGAAGCCTGTGGTTGCCACTGTGTGTTGAACCTTTTGAGACGTGAGACAGCATGGGCACACGGAACACATATCTGGAAGCTTCAGGAAATGGAGATACAGCGAAAGAAAGAGACAACATCCCGACTAGTGGGATTCGTCACAGGGGCTTGTAAAGTAAAGAGATTGGATACACCAAATGACCTAACGTGCAGGACGAGCATCTTTAGATTTTGGTGTCTCCCCGGCCGTATTCCACGAATCTCATGGCGTTGCAAGCATTGGCAAAACGAGACTTCTGAGAGTGCTTCTTCTTCTGCGTGCTTTAAAATTTGCAAGACTGTGGGCGTTCTAACCAACCTTCCATGGGACTGGCTCGCCGAAAAGCTTGGCAAGCTGTAAGCCTGTAAGCCCTAATTGGATAATCTCTGGAGCCCTAAACCCGAAATCCTCAGTCGTGCTATACCGGCCTAGACTCGACCATGCATCCGAAACACAAGTCCCCACAAATTCTCAGTCTTGGACTAGGATCCAAGGGTAGAGCCCTACCCTCGACACGTCAAATGCAAGAGGCAACATAGGATGTAGCAGAAGCAAATGAGCTAGTACCAGTACGCGCGACACTTCGGTTCCGTCGTCGTCGTCGTGATCGTCGTCGCAGTGGCGATCGCAGTGCCAATGTCGTCGGTACCGTCGAAGCCGAAGTAGTAGTCGTCGTCGTGGCCGTGGTCGTCGTACATAGCAACTAGCTGTTGCTGTTTGTCGTTGTACTTGCAGTAGTCGTCGTCAAAGTCATTATCTGACGGGTTTTGCTTCTTTACTTGACATTTCCTTTTTCGAATAAGACTATTAGCAGTAGCAGCAGTAGTCGTAGTAGGAGGAGGAATAGCAGCAACTGCAGTCACTATAGCAGAAGCAGCAGCAGCAGCAGCAGCAGCAGCAGCAGCAGCAGCAGTAGATCAGCATTCCTAATCCAAACTTCCGAGCAGCTCAGCTTTCGGAATGGGTGTGAGAACTGTCCGGTGAACCGCCGTGATGTGATCCTAGGCAGCCGGCGGGTGTAGAGCATAGGGCTTCCAGGACCAGCTGGCGAATTGAGGTCCAGTCTCTAAGTGTGTCTTGTAGTATAGGGGCCTTGATAATTAGAATACAGTTTTGGGGTATAATATACTATAGTTATAATAAGGAATCACCCAAAATAGTATAGGTAAGTACTGAGGCCCCTATAGAAACCATCGCATGGGGTTCTGCTCCGACTCCTTCTAAATCTACACAACCTTTTGGGACTTGTAGGAGGTAGTGGCTGACACACTGCAGCACATGATGGCATGCCCGCAACATACATACCTTGTGCTTCGGGTGGACTTAGCCACAAGGATTCCTTGGCTTTGGCCTGACCATGTTGATAATCTGTCGTTGTAAGAAGATGGACCCTCATAAAGTCGAAACCAAGAAAGCCTAAGACTTAAATTTGGCTAGTAAGGAATGGAGGAATGAGGTACAACTATAACTACTATTACTACCATTCTTCCATTCAATACTAACCAAAGGTAAGAAGACTGCAGTGCCATCAACACGGCTGAAACAAAGCACTGAAGCTCAAACCCCTGAGCGATCAATCAGAATCAAGGCATGCACGGCATCTCAACTCTCAAGAATCACCCATATACACTCAAGCCCATACCCATACTGTAGACGGGGAACAACATCAGAACCCCACAGTCTGTTCCACAATGCATGGGAGTAATTACAATGGGGTTTCGGGGCCCGGTATTTTATAATTGCAATAAGGAGCCCCCAAAACTAGTATATGTAATTACTTAACCGCCTCTATGAAGAAGTTCCGTGTGGACCAGCCCAGGGGAGCTTGGCGAACAGCCTGTACCCGCGATCACCCCCCGAACTCTTTCGGGCTCGCTCCCTCAGGCTTTCCATAACCTACTTGTCGGGTATCATGGGGAACTAAACGTTAACCTTTTTGGTTAAAAAGGGATTATATAGGGACTATACTACCCAAACAAGGTTAAAGGTTACCTACTCGACTACTAGGATAACTTGAGGTTGTTTTGTAATTTTGGTTTTAGGTGTTAGGGTTAAGGGCTTTAGGGTGTTGCGGTTTAGGGTGCGGGTCTGACTAAGCGGGGTAGGTTTACTTGGAAGGTCGGGGGACTTAGTAAGTAGGTAGTAAGTAGACTTATAAGTACCCTTAAAAGGACCCTAATCGGGGTTATGGTACTTATATGTCCCTAAAACAACCAGTTACTAAGTCCCCGACCCTCCAAGTAGGGTATAGGCTGAGGGAACTATTAAGGTCCCGGAGGAAGCCAAGCTACTCCTGGATCAGCTTGTACTTCTTCAGCTTGTCTGCACCAAGAAGCCAGCAGTCCCCAAGTTGCACATCATCTGGGACCTGTACAACATCTTAAGCTACCATGACCTACTTCTTCGTAGGATCTCATTGCCGACCCTAATATGGAATTTTCAGAGGCACTCTAGAATTAAGTAGATTCTGGTAGGTTAAGGTAAGGCGGACGATGGTTAGCACCCTAAGCTCAAAGAGGAGGGGTCGGGAAGCTTGGTGGCTTTGAGTTCTTGGGTGCGATGTCAGATTGTCCGTGCGTTCCAGTGTCCATCATATGTGCATTTCAGGACGGTTCGCCCCAAACAGGAAGGCATGAAGTGGCTTTCCGCAGGGAATCATCGATAACGTCTGTTTCGAACGGTTTGTAAAGAAGAAAAACTCACCAAAACGTGACAGAGTGCACCTGAAGCAACAAAACCATCTAAGAATCCCCTAAACCCGAAATACTGCAGCTGGGTCCCTAGGGCCCTCATATTCCGAAACTTCCACAGCCCTAGCCCATAGGGAGGGCCTGCAGCAGCTTGGTTGGATCCTCGCGAGCATTCATGATCGCAGCAGTCGCGCTGCCCAAGTAGCCTGGAACTGGGACCGTTCAGGGTATCGCAGGGTCGTAGTCAGTTACTCATTAGGTCTTCACAATAGGCTCCCTGGTTCTTAGTGGGGAATGAGGGAATGGACATTCTAAAGGTCCCTGATAGTAGTCCCGAAAACGCAGTCCCTCATTCCCGGCTAAGAACCAGGGAGTATGAACCCTTTTTTGCCACTGGGCTTGGGGCTAGCCAGATCCTTGCATCGCGGCATACCCTAAACCCTGTGCCCTATAGATCCCTTTACGGACCCTACTTACTAAGCCCCATGATCCCCTAAGTAGCTCTGCGGCCGGTGCATCTGAAGGCTCAGGGCTTTGGGGCTTTAATGTAGGGGCCTTAACAGTTAGAATAGGGTTCCTTTGAAGGCTGCCTTAAAAGGGGTCTAGTAAAGGACCGATAATAAGGTTCTATACTGAATGTAGGGGCCTAAAATAATGGTTCTGGGGTTCCTTATCATTTTTATAGTACAATATCCCCAACACCCCATTCTAATTATATTAAGGGTTTAAGGCTTAGGGGCTTATGGTTTACTCCAAGGGGTAAAAGGAGGGACCCTTAATAAGGACCCCTAGGTATATACCCCTACTCTATAATTGGCTATTATATACCCATTATATAGCCAATTATAGAGTAGGGTGGTTTACGGCTTGGGGTTGAAGGGACTTTTCCCCGATATCTGCTCCGAGAACACAGGCCCTGTGGAGATTTGCTTCGAGGTGCCGTCTCTTTTTCACCCAGAGAGCCCAATACCCCTCAATAAAGGAATATAGCTTAAATCATAATATGAACCCCTATATAATTTAAGCCATATTCCTTAATTAAGGGGCACTGGGCTCTCTGGGTCTTTTTCATGCATGCACATGTCCAATTCTCAAGCGTACCTTCAGTGGTAACCCTGCCGTGCCCCGTATCACCCTGCCGCCCATGCCAAACTGTGCACGAGAAACCTACTTCCCTGCCCAAGCCCACTTCCGAAGCGATCCGGTCAAATACGAAGCTTAGGGTTCAGCTTCCGTTGCGGACAAGGAGTGTAGTGGTTAGGGTAAGGTCTCATGCAGGAATGTACCTCACAGGATGGTACAACCCTCCGAAGTTTCGAAAGATGACGGTTTAAGCTCAAAAGCTGGGGTTTATCGCTTCATCGAGATTTAAAGCAGCCGCTAAATCCTAGACTCTTATAACATTACTTCTTTGTCACTCGCTCTCGGCAAGCTTACTAAGTCCCATGAGCCTTAAAGTATACCCTAAATCAAAGACCCCCAAAAGCACATAAGCATAAGCACTTGAGGGGGATATCCCTGCCTGATTGGGCTTCATTATAAGGGGGCTTACATGGGATATCCCTATCCATATTTTTGCTTATGTGCTTGTTCAGGGCCCCATAAACCCCTGGACCCTAAACCGGAGTCTATCGGCCTACGTCGTCTTCGGCACGGCGAACGAAGGCCACGCAGTTCGCGTCAGCATCGCACTTCATCTGCCCGGGGCTTAGGGCTTATAGGGTTTAGGGTTTAGGGCATAGGGCTTATAGTGTTGTTTAGGGTTTAGCTTTTTCTTTAAAGGCCCTTTTTCGACTCGCAAGGATCCCGAGAAGCGGTTATTCCGCTGGGCGTGACAGCAAGGCGCTTGCAGGCCAGGCAATCGCCCCCAGACATGAGCTTGACGGGTTTAGGGTTTAGGGCATAGGGTTTATAGGGTTTAGGGTTTAAGGTTTAGGGGTTTAGGGTTTATAGGGTTTAGGGGTTTGGGGTTTAGGGCATAGGGGTTTATAGGGTTTGGGGTTTAGGGTTTGGAACTACCAGGACACCCTCGTAGCCTCAAATATGGTCCCAAATAGTGAATCATTCAGAGCCTAATAGGGGGTAGATGGAGGGTCAAGATACATGGGAGTTTCCGAAAATAGGGGACCCCAATACAGTAATTATACCCTGAATAGTAGGATCCTTACTACAAGGACCCCACAAGAAGGTACCCTTAATTTTCGGAAACTCCCATATGCGTTTCTTATGTTCTTGGGCGCTTCTCGGAATAGTGAATAGTGTCAGATATGCGGGTGTCGGGGTGGCCCGAACGTTTATTGTAGTATCCTTAAGGGAGGGGGGTCCAACGGGGGTATATATATATATATATATATATATATAGCCTAGTGATCCCTAATCCTCCCCAGTACTCCCTAAGGTTCCCTTACAGTCCCCTAAGGATTCCTTATACTGTACCCTCCCCCCTGGAACCACCCTCCCTTAAGGAATCCTATAAGTTTATTAGCGGCTTTTGAACCCCGGTACGTCAGAAAAGCAGCTGAACGTTACCGCACACATGTCTCTCGGTCACCTGGTGATACGGCATGACGCTTGCAGACAGCCTGAGCCGAAACCTCTACCATGAACCCGCAAAAGCCGTGAAGCTCTCGAGCAAAATACATACGGTTGATGATATAAATCCTGCAATACCTTAAGGACCCCAGACTATGGGAATTGTGGTATATTCCTTATTGTGGGTAATGCAGGATTTATATCATCAACCGTAGTACCCATCATCCTCAGAACCTGCCCAGCTTTCCGCGATGCATCAATGCTTACTCGGCACTTGCGAGTCTACGACCAGGATTTAGAGAATAAGCGCAAGCGCAAGGGCATACCACTCAGGGTCTATCCGTCGTAGATCAAACCCTAGATGACGCTACACCCATAGGCATGAGTTCTTGTTACCAGTGTTTCTAAGCAAACAGTTTGCAACTTGTGGTTGGAATCACGAGCCGTTATAAGGCCTAAACAGTTCAAAAATCTAGCCATTGTGAATCAATCCTCATGCGCACACTCCAAGTGGAACAAAACCAGCCCCGCCCGGCCTTGCAGGTCATGAAGTCCTATCCGTCACAGGCAGGACGGGAGGCTTTACCCAAAACGCAGAGGCTTACTTAGAGGTTCTGGGGACTTGGTAAGTAAGGCTTTAAGTAAGGTAACTCCTAACTCCATCTACGTACTTATAACCCCACTTACTACGTCCCGGGAACCCTCTAAGTACTTTCTATCCTTAAACCCGAAACCCCTACTATAGAACCAATAAGGATACCCAAAAGAACCTAAGACAAAAAGCGAGGGCACCGTTTATGCAGATCCCTCAACCCTACGATGCTTTCGGCGACGATTCAGACCTCTATACTCAAGAACCCTCAAAGAAAAGCCCGGGAGGGCAGAGGTGGCTGGGTGCAAGCAAGTACCAGCAGATTAGGGTTAAGGGGTTTGCGGTTTAGGGTCACGAGAATATCTGGCCGTTTCATAATGGAAGTCACTGCAACTCCCTTCAGTACCACGGATAACTAGTGGATGTAGCTGACAGCCGATCAGCCTGGCAATAGCACAAAAAAATCCAGGATTAAGGGTGGCCTTGATTAAAAATTACCTATACTATGTTTTGGGGCTCCTTATCATAATTATGGTATAATGTTCCTGCCCATACTACTTTCGAGGCTTTTTATCATAGTTATAGTAAAATACGCCCTTATAGACTCATAACTATAGTATAATAATATACCTACCTATACTCTGTTTGGGGTTCTTTATCATCCTTACTGTAGAGTACACCCTTATCGACTCCGGGTCCGTCATGGGATAGTGATCCACAGTCTGGTGCCAGTTCGTGGACTTCAAAATCCCGTCGTGGGTGTCGGGCCTGGCTCGTGGCCGTCGTGGGTGTCGGGCATTTAGGGCTTAGGGGGTTTAGGGCTTCAGGGGTTCAGGGGTGTAGGGTTTAGGGGTTTAGGGCTTGAGGGTTTTAGGGTTTAGGGTTCAGGGGGGTTTAGGGTTTACTTAGGGCTTAGGGGGTTTAGGGTTTAGGGGTTTAGGGCTTCAGGGTTTCGGGCTTAGGTTTCAGGGTTTAGGGCTGGGGGTTTCGGGTTTCGTGTGTGTCGGGTCTGGCACCGAAGGGAGCTCGCGCACACAGACTGGCAGCCACACTCCAGATCTACCGAAACTTAATCTCGTTCGTGATTTAGGGTTTGGGGTTTAAGGTATATAGGGTTTAGGGTATAGTCTCCATTGTAGGTCTTACTTGTGGCTACGCATTTTAATTGAAGGTTAGGATCCTATAATTGCAAGTTCCGGGCAACCAAAAGAAGGGCTACAATGGAGACTATAGGTATATCTGTACCTGCATCTACATCAGTACCTGTCTACTTATCTTGTTACAGGTATTGAGTGTGTGTATATATATATATATGTATATGTATACGTATGTGTATGTATGTATGTATGTATGTATGTATCTCAGCCCCAAAACACTGAATCGACCTGGGAGAACATGGTTTGTCTAACCGTCTAACCCAGACTTGCAGGTGCCTTCCGAGTTCTGGCACATACCTCGGCAGCAACTGGTGAGATCCGGGTTCAGGTTTCAGGGGGTTTAGGGGGTTTAGGGCTTACGGTTTTTTTTGGGGGGTTAGGGTTTAGGTTGTAGGGGGTTTAGGGTTCAGGCTTTAGGGGTTCAGGTATGTTTTAAGGGTTGTCCTTTCCGGGCTTGCCTGTACGCCACAGAACACTTGGCCAACAAGTCGATCCGTGCACGTGCACTAAGAGTTCGATTCCAAGGCAAACCCAATGATGATGATGATAATCGCAACAAAAGTCACCAACCCCTGAACCCTAAAGCCTAAACTTTGGCCGGAAAACCCTAAACCCTAAACTCTGACTAACCGCTAAACGCACGCCTGTACTTTCAGGAAAAGCAGCTGGCAGGTCGTCTTCCCAGTAGAATGCTCCTCCAGCTCCAGCTCTGCCCCTGTACGTTCGAGACCTGATGTGGGAATTTCCGAAAATTTGGGGTACCTTAGGGTTCCTCTATATGGGTACTAATAAGGGCTCCTTTTAAAGGGCTCTTAAAGCGTTTGGAGTTTTTTCCGAAAATTAGGATACCTTATCTTGGGGTCCTTAAAAGAAGGATCCTACTATTTCGGCTGCTATATTAGGGTTCAAGACCTGATGTGGACTAGGGCCTAAGCGTTTAGGGTTTAGACTTGTCTGTTTAGCGTTCAGTGCTTGGGGTTTCGGCGCTCGCACTCGGAGAATCCAGGCGAGGCATTTGGGTTTAGGGTGTAGGGCTGAGTGTAGATTTAAGAGCTTCGGCCCGGCACACGTCTCGATATGTGCATAGGGTCTACATAAGGGATTTCGGATCGAGTTGAGGGTGTGGGGTTTGGGGTGTACGAGGTTTACAAGTTTAGCAGGCTTGGGGCGTTCGGCTTGGGCCTTGCACGGACTGTCAGAGCATCGTTAGCCGTTTCGGCACACCAGCCAACATGCATCTCTCCAACAGCACACTGGATCGGTCAGTTATGTGACTGACATTGACTGACCCCATACTGTGTCTGGCGATTCGACAATCGCCTGTCCAACCAATACCCTGGTTTTAAGATGAACTGGTTTAAACATCAAAGCATTGCATTTGGACTGTTGGTGGCCCCAGGACTCACTCGCAGCTTGCCGTCTCAACTGTCGCAGGGGAGTGCAACGTGCCGCACGGCTCACCCGTGGAATATGGAAACATTAAGATAGCTGATTTGTTTCTGAAGGGAGCAACGGTACTGCGGTACTTATGGCTCTTCACTCAAGCTGTGAAACAAGTGATTGAACACATCTTTGGGACCTCGCTGCAAATTCACAAGCTACATTGCCCCGGCCGTCATACATACCTCATGGAGCTCGTCACCTGCATCCAGCACGATGAAAGAGCTGTAAAAGCCTCCGCACCGGTATCCAAAGTCTGGGCATTTGTTTCAACAAACCCTATAACGAATATAATATGTAATGGCTCCGCTCTCAAAGTACCTATACAGGGACTACTTTGAGGTCGAAGTATAAGCTGTTTGGGCACATGGACCCTGAAAGAAAGATCATCGTCGCACTTTTCTGCTTGGGGCCTCCTCCCTGACAGCATGCAAGACTTGCGATTAGAATAGCGTCGAGAATAAGCGATGTTGGCCGTCAGCTTTCAAAGCGGTGTAACGACCAGGAACGTCTCAAGACCAAGCTGACGAGATTCGACATCTCGAAGCAAGCAGCAGTGGCCATCAAGGTTTCAGGTTTCGCACTTCGGGTGCATCGGGTTTAGGATCCCTCGATCTGAAAACGTGGCCTTCACGTCCCCCGGCCATTCGCAACCTGCAACCTCCAAAACTGTTGACTCCTCCCCAGCCAAAGCCCCACAGCCCAAACCTGGTAAACCCCAACACCTTGTAGCTCAGGGGCGCTTTGCGAGGGCCAGAGTGGCACCAAAGGCCACAAGTCGGACGGCAAATGGCATGGCGCCTCAACTGGGTTCTTGTTAAGGGATTTAGTTTAAGTTACCATAAACCCTAAACCCTGAACCACCATAATAAGAAGTCCCTCCTATGACTATCGATCCCTATTTTGGTAACTTAAACTAAGCTCCCCGAACAAGAACCCAGTCAACCGAGTCTCGCTTCCCTTCCAGAAACTGTCAGAAGTACTATTGGGGCCTTAATAATTAGAGTAGGGTTTTGGGATATATGATACTGTAATCCTAATCAGGAATCCCTAAAATAGTAAAAGTCTCGCTTCTCTTCCAGAAACTTTCAGAAGAACGGAGTTCTGGGAGCGGTTTGCTCAAGGGTTTAGGGTATCGGACTTAGGGTAATCGACGATGACTACGACTACAGTACAGTACACTGCTACTGCTGCTGCTGCTGCTACTACTACTACTACTCCTACTACTCCTACTACTCCTACTACTACTACTACTACTACTACTACTACTACTACTACTACTACTACTACTACTACTACTACTACTACTACGCCTCCTGCTGCCGCTGCGACGCGACGGCATCCTACCTGCGGCTGTGAATTGCCACCTGACCTTCCCTGCATTGTCGAGCCCTCTACTCTGCAGCAGCCCCGCCAAAGGGTGGAATTACAGGTACCTCGGCAATACAGAAACCGCCGGTGCCTAAAACCACCACAAGCATCATGCTTGCCACTGCCACAACCAACTTCGACGTTATGGAAATATTTCAGGATGTAGTTGCGACTGCTCCTTGCTTTACAGGGACCCTTAGGGCCTTAGGGGGGTAGAGGGAGGGGGTAGGGGACTATACTTCCTTGAATAGGCCTTATTATGTCGTTTTCCTAGGTGTTATATATTAAGCCCCCCTACCCCCCTCCCCCCTACCCCCCGAAAAGTCCGTATGATTGCTCCAAGTAAACGTAGCAGAGGCGCTGGCCGAGAAAGATTGGACAAACAACTGGTCTGAGATGTACAATGTACTCCGTCTGCTCCGGATTCGAGCAGAAAGCAGCTACGGCGCAAACCAGCTTGTTTAGGGCTTAGGGGTTTAGGGTTTAGGGTTCAGGGTTTAGGGTTCGGGGTTTAGGGTTTAGGATTTAGGGGTTTACGGGTTTAGGCTTAGGGGTTTTGGGTTTAGCTCAGGTAAAGTTGAGTCTCGACCAGGCCAAGACGGAAGTGGAATTACCACAAACCCAAAGAACAAACGCAGCCTTGACATGCTCTGAATTTCTTGCAGGATCAGGAATCAGGAAATCTAGTAAAGAGCTTATGCATACAGCCAGAAGTTCCCCAGCTCGGATATTCCTACTTGTACCTGTACTTGTACTTGCAACTGATTGGCCAACTACAGAAATGATCCTCCAAGCACCTCCCAACCTCAAGAATCTCAACCCAAAACTCTGAACGAAAAGCTTCACCACCAAAACCTCGCAGCTCAATCGCCGCGTATCATCTCAGATTGAAGTTTTCATCATCGGACAAGGATTTTGGCAAGTGATGCAATATGTCGTATGCCACAACCTTACGAAACCTCCAACGCTTTCACACGATGCCCAAACCCTAAGCTTTAAGCTCCACTCTTTCATCAAATCACTATGCCCTGACACTCTGCCCCAATATGAGCGATCCGAAAATAAGGGACCCGAATATAGTACCCTAAATACTAGGATCCTTATTATAAGGGACACCAAAATAAGGTACTCCAAATCTTGGGAAGCTCTAAAACCCTAAACAGACCCCTCATCGATCCCTTCAAGGAACCCCTATAGATCCCTGTAAGGAACCCTTTAAGGGCACCCCTAAGTTTCGGAAACTCCCAATATGCAGCATGCGCCCGCCGCTGCAAGCTGCGAGAGATATGCGAAGGCCTGCTCCGAAAACGTTCATTCTGGCTCCTTTAAAGGGTTACTATAAGGGTACTATAAGGGTTCCTTTAAGGCTCTGCAAGGGGCCTTAGCAGATTAGGGCCGGCTTAGTTTGACTGAGGTTTCGGGAAACGTTCTGGACTGAGCTTGTGGGAGGGCCGGTTCGGAACCCATGGCAAGCCACGGTGATGCAAGCAAACGATAGCTTTGAAAGCCTCAAAGCCTTGGCAACTCCCGGGTTTCAGCTCCATGAAGCATTATTTCTTGCTTAGGGTTTTAGGCTAAGTTTTAGAGCTTCAGTTCAATAATTCGGGCTTGAATGCCTTCAGTCTTGCTTTGCTCAAACCTTCGGCTATGCACGTGTTCCGAACGACTAGACCCGCAAAATACATCACATGACATGGCAATACAAGGGAGTGGCTTAGGCTTCCAAAGATGACTCGCAGAGCGCCGCGACGGGTTCAAACCCTCCACACAGCAATACAGCAAGTCCTTTCACTTTCACTATTCCTGCCATTACGAACCCAACTCTGTTGTGATGGAGCGGCATCGTCATCCTTGTCCCTCATGTGGCGCGCGCCGACCTCGAGCTAGCTGGTATGGGCCGTATGGGCTCAAAGTTCAATAAGTCCCTGAGCTCCACAAATGGCACGCGCATGGCATGGTACAGACGCTGTAAGGGCTGTGACAACTAAGGCTTTCGGGGGGACATTCTCTAGTATACTCATTAACTAGTTAGTCAGATAGGAGAAGGGGTACTCTTACCAAACAGAAGGTGTTAGAGTCCAATTGGGGTTTGAGGTGGTCGGCTACAACATGTCGGGGCCTGCGAGTTTTGGGCTTGAAGGTGGGGCTGAGAGTTCGAATCTTCAAAGCTGATGTATGAACCGAAAAGTTTGGGCTACATGATGCCAAAACAAAAAATGATAAAATGAATAAATGTGGCTTCTCTCTGTCTCTCTCTTTCTTTCTCGCTCTCTCTCTCTCGCTCTCTCTCTGAGGTCTTCAAGTCTTGTGGCTTCAGAGGTTTTGGGCATGTCAACGTCGCAAGCCGGCTAAATCCACCTTCGCCGTGCGTGACATTGGTAGCAGGGGGATTACCGCCTCAAGGGTCCGTGAGAGGGCTGCGACTTTAAGTATGACGTGGATGCTGAGTCAAGTCGGTAAGCGTGGATTCACATGCCGACGTACCTACCTCTGCCGACGGCCAACCATCGTGCTGCACATCCCCTCGGGATTCAGGGGACCTAGTAAGCTGGTTATGAGTCCTAACCAAGGTTCTCCGACTGATAACTTTACTTATAACCGCCATACTGAGCCTGCCGATCCTCCACGCAACCCCTGCATCCGCAACCTTGTTTTGCCCCAGGGCTCGCGGCTGGGATTTGCCATGACCACTCGCTGAGCGAATAGGGACACAGAAGATCAACATCAGCAACCCTCATCCTCCAAACCCGAAAACTCAACTCCTAAACTTTCAATCTCTAGAACCCCGAGTTAAACCAGAAACCCTCATAAACTGTACAATGTGCTGCCTTTCAGCCGTTCAGTCGGCCTGTACATCTTGCAACACAGGGGGGTCTTCAAGGAAAATGGAAAGGTGCGAACACTACGACTCTTGTCCCAGAGCCCTATATCCCTCGAAGCCTTCATAATCGAAATGGAGCCCGCTTGTAGAAGACACAGTAGAAGATAGATAACAAATATGTAAACAACGACGCATTGAAAAACTCAAAAAATAGCATCAGTGAGTACCCATGCGTTTATATAAACTCCCGAACCTCCCCATACCCCGAAGACTGAAAAACACAACATCCCAAGCCCAAAACACTTTATACGAAGGAACGGCTCTACAATGATCCAGGAAATTTATGGCCACAGGTTCAACATGCCGCAATGCCGCCGATGCCTCTACTCAGGGAAGACTTAGGGGTTTGATATTTGGAGTTAAGGGTTAGGCTTTCGAAGCTCTAGACAAGAATCGTGGAGTCCTGACTGTGATAGCACTCGCCTTAGCGGCGGAGAAGCATCTGGAAAATACGAAAGTCCGAGCCAGGCCAGCCTGGAAGATCAGAAAACCGAAACCCACATCATCAGAACTTGACAAGTGTTTCGCGAAATTGCATATGGGAGTTTCCGAAAGTAGAATTCTTCTTATAAGGACCCAAAATAAGGTACCCCGAAATCTCGGAAACTACCATAGATGGCTGCAGCCATTCGGGGTCCAAGCTACATTTGCTTCCGTGCTTGCATGGCAGGGCGCCCAACATGGAGTTTTTATATGAAGTAGGACTGCTATTGCTAGTAACTGCTTGTATCTCCAGAAATGCACCCAAGACATGTATTCACCAAATAACTAAGCTTTCCCCCTCTCTCTTCTCTCTCTCTCTCTCTCTCCTCTCTCTCCTCTCTCTCTCTCTCTCTCTCTCTCTCTCTCTTCTCTCTCTCTCTCTCTCTCTCTCTCTCTCTCTCTCTCTCTCTCTCTCTCTGTCTGTTGCAGGCCGAAACCATTAATGATCCATACTGCATCCCTCGTCGGTGTGAGTTGCATGGCCGGGCGCGGGCTCTTGCCGAAAGAGGCTAGACTCACTAGACGCTCGGCATTTCTAGGCAAACGCGGCAGACCGGGCACATTCCGGCGGCTGCCGACGGAGAAAGCAACCAGCGTGAAATACATTCCTTGTGATAGACGTGCCCGCACTGAAGGACAACGACTCGGCTGGTAGGTAGGAACTCTTCTAGGCAACATACACAGCCTGTGTCCTGTCGCACCTTGGTCGGTGGTAGGACAAGAGTGCCCCCTCCCAGCCGCTTTTGATCTTCATGGCCCCGGAGCACCACCTCATGGAATTCGGCCACCTCTGCCGTCAGGTTTCGGAAGGTGTAGGTTGCCCATCTCAAGCGACGAGATTCCGGTGCTGAAGTTCCTGATTCGTCCCCTTCGTCTCGGTAACACTCAAGGATAGTCTCGGCCAAGGCAGCACAAGTGGTGAGGCAACCCATGCACACGACCAACAAGGCTCCTATCCTTAGTTGTTGAGTTCATAAGCCCCCAAAAAGTGGATATACACTTTTGGTTTTATAGTGGGTGATCTTAACGCAAAAACTGTAAAGTGTATCCACTCAGCTACT